TTGTCTGAGATTAGGATTGCAACTCATGCTTTTTTTCTGAGTTGCTATTTGCCTGGTATGTCTTCCTCCAGCTTTTTATTCTTAGTTAATTCCTGTCTGCGAGTGTAAGATGTGTTTCCTGCAGGCAACAGATTGATGGGCTATGTTTTCCAAGCTAGTCTGCAAGCCTTTTTATTTTAATGTAGGAGTTAAGGCTGTTGATATTTAGTGTTACCCTGTTTCCCCGAAAATAAGACAGTGTCTTATATTAATTTTTGCTCCCAAAAGATGCACTAGGTCTTATTTTCAGGGGATGTCTTATTTTTCCATGAAGAAGAATATGGTACACTTCTTGTTTCTTGTTTTATTAAAAGAGACCTCACACTTCCTGTCTGCTCTGGCTGTGCTGCAGCCAACAGTGAGCTGTGCAGCTGTGCCCGCTGCTATGGTCCAGTGTCCAGAGTTACAGTAGCTTTGGGGGGCCCTTATTTTCAAGGGGATGCCTTATATTTCAGCGAGAGGCAAAACTAAATAGGTCTTATTTTCGGGGGATGTCTTACTTTCGGGGAAACGGTATTAACGCAATCTGTGGATTCATTGCTGACATCTTGTGCCTTTTGATTTGGGTCTTTTCCTATCACCCTTCTTATCACTGTGCGGTGTCTTTGTGGGGGACTTCTTTATTGCCATCTTTTCTCTCTGTGGCTATGCTATCTTGGCAGTTGGTATCAGCTCATTGGCTTCTGGTTGTGGTTGGGCTATATGGTGTTCTCCTGTTTGTGCTTGGTGGACGTTGGTCTTCTGGCCAGAGTGAGTCGGTAAGGATCTGCCTCAGGGGTGGGTGTCTTGCAGCGTATTCTACAAGTTTTCCCTTGGCCTGGCAAACCCTTATCTCTCCTTCTATCTTAATAGATAATTTGGCAGGGTAAAGAATACTAGGGGAAACGTTTTTGTTCAGCTTTTGGAAGGTATTAGTCCACTCTCTCCTCCTCTTCATGGTTTCTGTTGATAGTTCTGTGCATATTCTTACCTGAGAGCTCTTGTATGTGACTGTCTTCCTTTCTCTTAGAATTTTCTCTTTTTCCTCAAAGTTGGATAATTTAATTATTATATGCCTTGGTGAGCTCTTCCTGGGATTTAATATACTTCTTGTCCTCTCTGCTTCCTGTATGAGTGACTGATTCTCACTCATTAGGGTGGGGAAATTTTCTTCCAGTAATTCCCTTGTTAATTTAGCTGTTGACTTCTTCGCTGTGTCTTGTTCTTTTAGGCCAATAATTTGGATATTGTTCCTTTTCATAGTATCAGACACTCATCTCAGGGTTTCTTCCGCCTCTTTGATTATCTTGTTTGATTGTCTTTCTCATTTGCCGAGGTCTGCCTGATTGTCTTCAAGATCACTGATACGTTTCTCAGCCTCCTCTAGTCTGTTTGTGAGATCGGTAATCTTGTGTGCAGCTTCTGCTACTCCATCCGTTAGCTCCTATATTTCCCTTTGGTGAATAGACTTCATTCCCTCTGTTGTGGACTTCATTCCCTCTATTGTGGCCTTCATCCCCTCTGTCATTGTATCCTTAGTCTGTGTAGCTTCCTTCATCTCCTGTATTACTCCAAGCAGCCTTCTGAAAATTTCTTCTTGTGGCAGATCCACGTCAGATTCTTCTATGAGCGTTGTTAGCTCTGCTGATGTGGTTTGTCTTTCTTGTTTACTTGTTGGGAGTGATGTGGTATGCTGTTGTTTAAATGATGATTTCAAAGAGGTAGGTGCCATATTTCTGGGAGACCAAGCAGCCCTATGTACTTCCATTGTATGACTGGTGATTGTGTTTTCAAGGGCTGCTTGTGGCCTACTATAGAGGTTGGTCAGGCTGCTGTGAAGGTAGGTGCTGCAGTGACTCAGTTGACAACAGTGGTGAGAGGTGGCGAGCACCGTTGGGGACAGCTATGGGGAACGCAATTTGACTGGTGGATAGCTCTAGTACAGTGGTAGGGCTATAGGGGACCAATGGGCAGGTGGCGTTGCTGTTAGGGTCTAAGGTGGTGTGATCCACGTGGGCTGGGGTAGCTCCCACTGCTGGGTCACTGGTCCCTTGTTTTACGGATCTAGGCTATGTTTGAGGCAGGGATGCCCTCTGGGCCTGGTATGTACTCTCCACTGATCCACTCACTGCATGGGCTGGGAGCAGACGGGGCAGCAAAGATCCCTGAGCTGCAATAAACCCAGGTAGCGCCTATCTGAGGCCCCGGGGACCGGTTGCTTGCTGGGTGGGCCTGTGAGGACCTGGTCTGCGACTCTCCGTGGGTCCGGGCGAGGCAGTGTGCAGTGGGCCTGAAAACACCCAGGCCGAGACTCTGGGCAAGGCAACTCGAGGCAGGCCTGCTGTGACATGAATCAGACTCCTGCCGCTAAGGCAGAAGTGGTGCACAGGGTGCCTGCAAGGACCAGGCACAGAGGCTGCAGGCTTCGCGCTCTAAAAGCCATGGTCCCAGTCTCCGCTTTTCCACAGCTCCAGTCGATTTTGTGCTGCAGGGCCTATAAGGCCCTAGTCTGCGACTCGGACTCCCACTGCTAAGGCAGAAGTGGCGCATGGTGTGCCTGCAAGGACTGGGCGCAGTGGCTGCAGGCTTGAATGGCCCTGGTCCCAGTCTCCACTTTCCTGCGCCTCCCGGGGCTAATTCGTTCCGCTGGATTTGTAAGGACTCGGTCCGTGACTCGGATCCCTCACACAGCGTGCCTGCAAGGACTGGGTGTGGAGGCTGCAGGAGGAAAGCTCTAAAAGCCATGGTCCCAGTCTCTGCTTTCCTGCCGCTGACCTGGCAGGCATGACCGTGGGGGTTGGAGGTGACTCTGGCACTGGTGCTGGGTGCACCTAGCCACAGGCACTCAAACCTGCTGTGGGTGCGGCCCTGGGGCCCTGGGCGGCTGCCAGGAGGGCGACTGTGGGATATGGGTGCAGCTCCCCCAGGTGGGATCCACGAGTGGACAGCTGCTATGTGGTGGTCAGGCCCGGCCTGGGGGAGCTGTACACGATAGCTGTCTTGTTCCTGGGGCAGTGACTAAGCCAGGGGGTGGATGGGGGGAGGCACTGGCTGGTGGTGAGGTGCACAAGGGTTGCACAGCCGGCGGGAAATCCCTGATATATGGAACCAGCTCTCCTGGGCTTGAAATAAAGCAGATGTGGGGCAGGGCCCCCTCCTGGACAAGGAGGATCCCTCATAGGGACCTTTGCACTCACCAGAACACTTCCACTTGACCTCCCGGACACCAGAGTCACCGGAGCTCCCCATATGGGCTGCTTACCTTGGTGCCATCTTGAACGGAACCTGACTTAACCATTTTTTAAATGAGAATACTCACCAGGAATTTTTTTCTATCTTTTTTTTTTTTTGCTTAATTGGAATTGTGGTCTAAAGTTTGGGGGGTTTTGTTCTCCCATTTTATTTAGTTATCTTTTAAAGCTTTATTGTACTTTTGAGAAAGTTTACACCACAAATTAGATTCCTATTTAACAGGTAAGTATTGGGCTGGTTAGTTCGAACCACCAGCTGCTCTGAAAGGAGAAAGAGAGGCTGTCTGCTCCTGTAAAGATTACAGCCTCAGACACTATATTGGGTCGCCATGAGTCCAAATTGGCTTAGTAGCAGTAGGTGTTTACATATGTGACATTAGTTATTTTTGCACAGTGTGTCCTCATTCTTATTCAAGGGATGTAGGACTCGGTGACATATATTAAGATCCAATCAAATTTTTAGCCCAACTAGTTAAGATGGGTTGACACAGTGGCTGTAACAATGAGCTCAAACAGCAAGGCTTGTGAGGGTGGTGCAGGACCAGGCAGCGTTTTGTTCAGTTGAGCATAGAATGAGTGAGAACTGGCACACAGCACTAACTGCCACACACACACACCTATGTGTACTTAACTAGGTAATATCAATACATGTCTTTTTTGGTGGTGTCTACTATCATTTTAAGACAAGGAGGTGTAAATGAGAATAAACGCTTATATGAAGGACTTTACTCAGCTTCCCCCTGGTCAGTGCAGCCTTGACGTTGCTTAAAATATGAAAAGGACGTTGTTCTTCATGCTGATTAGTAGCCCCGTTCATGAACTAAATGTGCAGTGATGTTGCTTATACTACCAAAGGAAGTGACACCAGCCAGCTGACTTCAGTCTCTCAGAGTCACTTGACCCTTAGTTACCAGCTCTATGGCTTCAAGCTATGGATCCCTGATGGTGTAATGGTTAAGCATTTGGTCTTTGGGCCGCTTGGTTGGCAGTTCAACGCCACCAGGAGCTCCTCAGGAGAAAGACTGGGCTTTGTACTCCCGTCAACAGTTACAGATTCAGAAACCCACAGGGTGTCGTAGTCATAGGAGTCAGCATGGACACGATGACCGTGAATTTAGTGCTTCTTGAGACCATAGCCACCTTATTTATAAAGTTGGGAAAATACTATTCTGACAGCCCTGATGGGTGATAAGCAAGGATCGGCGGAAAAACTGAAAAATCCATAGAAACTTTCAAATCGTATACATGCAAAATATCTGATTATCGAAACAACAACATCAATCAATTCAAAGGGAAAACATCTTTTAAAAATACTTCATTAACCAGAAATTCTTCAACTCCCTATTCACATTTAAGTTCACTGAATATGGTCTAGAACTTGATTGTATTACCCTCATCTTTCCCGTAAGACTCCCACATGGTATCTTTGTCTCTGCCAGGCCACCAAGCCTTTTTCCCCCCTGTGACTCAATTTGGCTAAGGCTTCCTGAACTCCCCTGAAAGGCCGCTGAATGGCACATGAGCTTGGAAATAATTTAATGAGAGCCAGTGTCTTGGCTGGTCTTAAAACCGTTTTCTTAAGTGTCGAAATGTGACATCGGAGTCTGGGTGTGTTTTGTCAGGATTGTGTCAAGGCATGTATATTGCTTGAGTCTCCATCTCAGAAGTTGTAGGTTGAATTGTTAGTAGTTTACTGAACGGTTGGGTTGGGTTTGATTCATTCGTATGCAGATGTTCACGGAAGCACACTTTCCCAGCATCGAGTCCCACCCTTCTTGTGAAAAGCATGTTCACGACGTTTGGAATGGAGCAGTGCCGAATGGATGACTATGACCCGGATGCCAGCCTGGAGTACAGCGAGGAGGAGACCTACCAGCAGTTCCTGGAGTTCTATGACGATGTGCTTCCCGAATTCAAGAACGTGGGGAAGGTGGTACAGTTCAAGGTGGGCAAACATGAGTGGTGGGCCTGGCTCACATCACACGCGGTGTCCTAGGCATTGGAGGGGGGCCTTGTGGGGGACAGGCTGGGGTCTAGGCCTGGCTCTGTCTTAGCTCACTGGAAAGGCTGCTTCCTTCTCTCCCTTTCTTTGTCCCCTGTGACTGCCTTAGGCTGTTCGTTACTCACCCCAAGTGAAAAGACTGTTAGGTTTAAGGGTTCAGCCATCCAATCCTCTGTCCTGTGTAGGCCTGACTCTCAGCTGGTCGTCACAAATGCGTCAGTCCCCCCACCTCCGAATTGTAAGCTCCAGAAGGTGCTGCTCCATGCTCACCCTTCCAGGCAGTGCAGGGGCCTCTTTCCAGCGTGACGGCACCAGCCGGCCCTCCCTGGGACACGTCTCTGGATTCTTGCCTTTTTCTTGACATTATTTTTATTTCCCGGCTGTCCCTGGAGGCCTGGGCTGTGATGCACACGTGAAGGGGAGGAGTTCATCATTATTTTAAATGGTTTGTCTGACCAGGGCAAGTCCACTCTAATGCCTACTGCTCCCAGGAGCCCCTAGTCGAGGCATCGCATGCCTGGTGGCGAGTTCAGACTCAACAGCTGCCCTGTAGGGCAGGGCAGAGTCCAGCTGTCTCCGCAGGGGTTCTGAGCCTGTCAGCCTGTGGAAGCAGATAGCTGCTCTGCCCCCCCCCACACACCACCCCCCAGCAATGGCTGGTAGGTTTGAATCCCCCAACCTTCCGGTTCACTGCTGAGCTCTTAACCAGTGCCATCAGGGGCGATAGCATAGCACAAGCCTTATTTGTTGCAGAATTTTGGGAAATTGAGGGAGAAAGCTGGGAAGGCTTTCCCGTGAATTAGAGACGTGACAGTGGCTAGCTGGAACAGCCACCAGACTCAGGAACATCGAACGGGCTGCTTTCATTACTTGTTTGCCACCCAAGTGGTGAAATTCCTTTTCGGTGTCTCCTTCCCGCTGTTTCTGCCGGGGGTGCCTTCTGGGCCTCGCGCCCCTGCTGCATCCCTCTGATACACTGCAGAGGTGCCGAAGGGCCTGCCCGAGCCCAGCGGCGCGCCTGCCTGCAGCCCTTACTTTGTTCCCGCCCAAGGAGGGAGAGGGTTAGGCCAGCCCCATTCTGCCCGGCAGGCCACCTGGGGTGTTGCACCTGTCCTTTCCCTCCTGGACTTGTCCGTGGTTGTCTTGGAGCTGCCTTCCAGACAACAGCCTGGCTGACAGCAGGCACACTACTGCCCCAGGCCGTCCCCAGGACCCATAGCAGGGTATGTCCGCTTGTTTAGAATGAGGTAGATTTTGTGTTGCTAATGGCCAAGCCCGTGCTAATTCTGCTCCCAGTTCAAAGTGGCAAGCTACTCAGTCCAAGTTGAGAACTACTCTCAGAGCCTAGAGCTTGGGGCTGGCAGTGAGGCTCCGGACTGGCCAGTTGTTCCCGGACTGGCCTGTTGTTCCCATTGGAGCTTTATTTTGAAGTGAGAAGCTTAACTCTAGCAGGAATATTTGCAGACCTTTTTTTATGCCATTATATAAAGCCGATCCACGGTGTCATTTTTGAAGGCCAGTTACCGAGAGCGCAGCCTCTGTGGTAAGAGGAGCAATGGGAAGGATCCGAGATGCTCTTTCACACCCATCAGACAACTCACGATCGGGTCTATTAATACCAGGAGTGGGTGAGCAGGTGTGGATTTGTGAAAGGCTCGCAGGGAGCGGTTTGTCAAGATCTAGTGAGGTGAGGGGGCCGGGACCCACACATCGGCCCTCTACTCTGACTGAGCACCCACGGGAAGGCCTCCACCCTCCAGAGGGAGGTCAAGGGTGCTTTCGTGAGCCCCTGGGTCTCCATCACCAGATAGGCTTTCATCATTTGATTTCTCCTGTGTGTGGCAGTTAAAATGAGTCAGTACATTTACATGCTTGCTTCTTGAAAAAAGAATATGGAATAGGATTTATCTAAGACTTGAAAGCATGGAGGTTGCTGTACACATCGTCAATACAGTGCACACATTTGTTTAAATGTCTGAGTGCTAGTATGCCCAGATAGACCTTAAGGAGCTCTGATGGCACAATGGCTGTGTGTTCGGCTGCTACCCAAAAGGTCGTCAGTTCAAATCCACCAGCCACTCCATGAGGGACCAATGTGGCAGTCGGCTCCAATAAAAATGACGGCCTTGCAAGCTGTGGGACAGAGCTGCTGTGTCCTCTAAGGTTGGTCTGAGTCCAAATGGACTCGGTAGGCCACCACAACATGCAGGTATGCGTTTATATGTATGGAGGTGTATAAGCATGTTTTTATGACACCTATTCATACATATGCCTGTATGTAAAGGAGCCCTGGTAGACTAGTGGTGAAGTGCTCAGCTGCGCACCAAAAGGTTGGCAGTTTGGCCTCACCAACTGTGAAGGTGACTGTAGGGGAGAGCCCATGGGGCAGTTCTCTGTCCAACAGAGTGGCTTTGAGTCGGAAAGGGCTTGACGGCAGGAAGTTGGGCAAGCGGCAGAAATGGAAGCATATCAGATAGCTCTTGGCCATTTCCTGCTCTGAAATAGAAAGCACTTGTGCTTAGTTGAGGGTGACTGGTGTGGGGCTAATGTACACTGTGTGTGTGTGTGTGTGTGTGTGTTAGATGCTTCACAGTTACAGGGGAAATGGAACTAGATCGATAGGGGCCAGCTCCCAGGGGTCTGCGAGGTCACCTTATGCCTTTAATAGACCGGACAGTGGTTTCATTAGATGACAGGGCTAATTTCTTGGCCTCCGGCTTCATGTCAGCTTATGTCCTTGCTCCTCAGGTCAGCTGCAACTTTGAACCTCATCTGAGGGGCAACGTGTACGTCCAGTATCAATCGTGAGTATTCCAAGCTGCAGCTCAATCATGTTTTCAAGGTCACCTTTTCTGTTCACTCTTTGGATGAGTCCACTGAATAGGTCGCTCCCAACCAATGACTTTTTTTCTCTCATGTCACTATCGAGACATAATAGAGGCGCAGGGAGGGGCTTTGAGAAGAACACACATGTATGCATACATAAGTGGTTTTGAATCTTTTACCCGAAAGTTACATCAGAATGGGAAGCAAATTAGTAGAGCCGTTGAGAAAAGGATAGGAAGCAGAGAGGAGCTGCTGGCATAAGTGGACAGAGCTACGTTTTGAAGCCCCAAATCCTCTTGGTAGGCATTTGGCCAGCTGGCTGTGCGATAGCCACTGGGTTGAATTCTCCATTGCCAAGAGCTCAGCCGTCCTGGCCAGGGAAGCCCCGTGGAGTAACCCTCCCGCATTTGGAATGTTCTAGTCGGTGTAGGATGCAGAAGCTAGTGCCCATGCCTTGGAACCTCAGAGAGCCAGGAAAAGGGGTTCTGGGATCCTTTGGGAACCTCCTGGAGCGTGACTATATGCTTGAGGATTCTGTGGAGACTTGAGAAACCTCTAGAATGGGCCACCCTGCTGGTCTTCGGTGCAGGCGCGAGAGGTTGGTTTGGGGTGGAACTCACCCGCATCTTAGCGCCGGCCTGTGACAGTGCATCCTTCGTTTTGGGTTTCAAGGGAAGAAGACTGCCAAGCAGCCCTTTCTCTGTTTAACGGACGGTGGTACGCGGGACGACAGCTGCAGTGCGAGTTCTGCCCGGTGACTCGGTGGCAAATGGCGATTTGTGGTAAAAGACACCATCATGCTGCTTTTATTCCCCATAAAACCCCCATCTCTAGAAGGGTCTTGTTAAAATAACCACTAGCCAGAGCTTTGGCTTCAGGCCAGAGAGGAGGAGAGTATATGGTGTGTAGCTCTGTGAGGGACCTGCCGGTCACTTTCTCAGTGCCAGGGGTGGGGCTAGAAGTCTGCTCTTCTGAGTCCTGGCCTTTGTGGACCTCATTGTGGACGACTGGAGCCCCTTAGCTGCAGGTGGCCAGGCCTGCCTTCAGTTTCAGCTAGCTGGAGGGAGGGATGGCCCTTTTGAGGACCTGGCATCGTTTGGGTTTCTATCGTGAGGGCTCAGCCTAGGCACTTAGGAGATGAAGCCTTAAACACCCAAGGGGAATGTTTCTTGGCCAAGCATTGCCTTATCTCTTTGCCTCCTCATCTTCTCTTCTGCTTTGTAGCACACTTGGTTGCTTGTTAAAAATGTAGAATTTGTAAAGTCTGAATCACAGGAAGGATTTGGCAGCCTTGCTGCCGACTACCAGCCACTCCATGGGTGAAAGACAAGCCTTTCTACTTCCATTAACGTATATACTCGAGTATAAGCTGACCCGAATACCAGCCGAGGCACCTAATTTTACCGCAAAAACTCCATTAACAATGTGTCGAAAAACTCGGCTTATACATGAGCATATATGGTAATTAAGCAGTATAGTCTCGGGAACCCACGGCAGTTCTACTCGACAGTGAGTTTGGGTTTGGGGGTCTGTTTGTTTGCTTAGGGACCTGTTGTTTTTTGGGATGTAGCATTCCCATAAACTTGTTGCAAAGCTCCAGTGGTTTAGGAAGATAGCCACTTGAGCTATGTTAAAAATGTGCTTTATCCCTGACCTGAAAACCATCCCCCCCCCCCATGGCATAGAACATGTTCTGGGTTTTTTTATTTTTTTGTCTGAGGGCACCCTAACAAGACTAAGACAAGTGTATTGATGAGAGAACTTGCCCGCAGACGTGTTGTGACACACGTTTGGAGTAAGCCTGTGTGTAGATGAAGTGGGAACCCTGGCAGCAGTACTTCTGGCCTTACCTTGTATATCCAGGGGGTTCACTAGTGCTTGGCCTGGTGGAATGAGGTGGAAACTGTAGGCGGTCAGAATATATACCCACAGGTCACGAGGGGGTTGAATTATACCAATGGGGTGGTTTTCAGAGTTGCTCAGCCAGCACTCTTGCCTAATGTTCGAACGTTTCCATGTCCCCAGTCCCTGCGAACCCCCACTCACCTTTCTGGCTCTATTGATTGATGTGCCTGTGCTGGGTGTCTCGTGCACAGGTGTGCATGACACTGTGGGCTCTCACTCAGCATGATCTCAGAGTCCCTCCCCTTCGTGGCATGTATCCGTACTGCCATTCCTTCTTTGGGCAAAGCTCTCTTTCAGTGGACGATAGTCAAAAACGCCAAACCAGTGTCTATCCTGACAGTTCCAACTCGTGACAGCTTCATGTGTCTCACAGTTGACTTCTCCAGAGAGTTGTCTTGGCTGGCATCTGTACGGAGGCAGATTGCCAGGCCTTTCTTCTGTGGCACCACTGGGTGGGCTCCGACGGTAAGCTTTAGATTTAGAGTTAAACACAAACTGCATCACCCAGGGACCCATCTATACCATGTTTTTGTGTCTCTCTCAAGTTAATAGGCTTGAGCTGTTTTCTCTGTTTGGCCATTTTGAATAAGCTTTGTCCAGTTTCTAAACGGACCCAGTTTTCTGCCATCTTGGGTATGTATCCAGGGGGAGAAGTGCTTGATCTTATGCTAACTCTGTTTTAACTTTCTGGAAAACAAAATGCCAAATGTCTTTCGAAAGCAGCGGAGCCAGCCCAGCATTCCACCCACAGTGTATTAAGGTACCAGTTTCTCCACCGCTATCTCAGGGTGGATTTGATTCCAAACTTCCTAACGTCCGGTGACGTTAAGTATCCTTTCATGTGTTTTTTGGCATTCACAATCTTTAGACAGACATCTCTTCCAATTCTTTGTCGAGTTTTTGAATTGGGGTCTGTCTTGCTATTGAGTTGGGAGAGCGCTTTATGTATTCCAGCTCCACATCTCTTAGCACCGATGGCGGAGTTGCCAGTGTCTTCTCTCTTCGGTGGGTTGCGTCATTTGTTGCAGCAGTGTCCTGCCACATCTGGTTGCTAGAATTAACTTGATGGCGGCGAGTTTGGTTTGGGCTGGTGGGTCCTTTGAAGCATGTGTGTTTAGTTGTGACGTCACAGCTAAGAAAGCCTTGCTGTGTAACCTATCTGGGGAATTTACCTTCTTAAAAAAGAAAAATGAAAACCCCACAGAGACCTCGAAACAAGGTGTTCCAATGGATTTCCCCAGTGACCAGAATCTTTCATAATAAAAACACTTGACAAATTATCATCTCTTCTTTTTCAAGTGTCAGAAATAGGCAGCATCCTTCTCCGGGGTGGCGGGGTGGGGATGGGGGGGTCTGCTGTGCCCCAACCCTGCTGTGTCTGGAGAAGGGGCTCCTGCAGGGATTTGGCGGACTGCTTTTCCCATGGGATCCTAGGGTCCCTGCTGTAGATTGGTTAGGGGAGACCCCCGAGGAAGGCTAATGGGGCCGCCCGTTGAGCGCTGGTACTCTGAACCACAACGCACTCAGGGAAAGGGACCTTTGGGGACAGTGAAATGTCGTTTGGAGTGCCATCTCATCTCGTAGAGCATTTGAACGTTTTTAGTTCAGAGAAAACGATAGCATTCGATTTATTTAAGCCCCATGACAATAAAATCATGCAGAGTAGGAAATACCAGATGTGAACTTTCACACCTGAATGATGTACCACCTTCCAAGCCCAGAGCAGTGACTGCCCTTTCCCGACTGTTCCCTTGCAGGTTTATTCGAGACCCAGCAGTGCCCGCGCGGCAAGCACTGCAACTTTCTCCACGTGTTCCGAAACCCTAACAATGAGTTTTGGGAAGCTGACAGAGACATGTACCTGTCCCCAGATGGGACTAGCTCATCCTTTGGGAAGAACTCAGATCGGAGAGAGAGGCTGGGCCACCGTAACAGCTACTACAACAGGTCAAGGGGAAGATGGAGTCCTAGTTCCGACTATTCCTACCACAGAAACGGGGAGTTGGAGAGAAGAAGTCGACACAGGGGGAAGAAGTCTCATAAGCATGTGTCCAAAAGCCGGGACAGGCACAGCTCCCGAAGTAGAGGCAGGAAAAGAGGCCGTAGCCACAGCCACAGCCGAAGCTGTAGCCGTAGCCGCAGCCGCCGGAGGCCCCGCAGCCGTGGGAGGAGGCAGGCAGGTAGCAAAGATAGAAACACCCAGAGCCCCAAAGCCAGGTAAATTGCTTTTGGTCCTAAATGGATTTCTAGTTATTCTGGCTGCTGAGCACGCTGGCCAGAAGGGGATGTGTGCCGAGCCCTGGACTCAAAATTAAAGGGGTGAGTCAGTATGGGAAATGGAGAAAGAATGTACATGGATGTCATGTTAACCTGCGGAGCTAGTTCATTTAACCTGGGAAGACCCAGCACGGATTTTTCTAGTTACTGTGTGGCTGCAGGTGAATGTTTTCACCCTGAAACATGGTTCCATTTCCAAAAGCCCCTATTGGGACAGGATTTTACTTGCTGCCTAGCTGAATCTACCAGTGTATTTTACCCTCTTCCAAGGGTCGGATTTTTATTTAAAATTTTGTACTTGTCAAAGAAGCCTTTGCTGAAAACAAATAGAAACACCACCCCCAAATAAAAATAAACCCTGTGTATTTCTTGAATACTTGTGCATCTTTCTGATTATTCCCTTGGGCTAAGTCACCTCAAGCAATGTGAATACATATTATCAGTCACCTTCCAGAAAGGACACAACACTGCTGCTCCCCGAACATCAGGGATTGTGAGGCTTTCGCTGTACGTGTTCATCCGTTTATTGACTAGGTTGGAAAATTTCAGGAATAAGAACGGCCATTGGTTCTTCTAAGAATCTTTGCCTGGTTAAAAATCTTACTGGCTTCTTCTCGTGCCACAGCTGTGAAGTTTTGAATTCATGTTCTCAGTCCTTATGTCCAAAGGGCATGTAACTGTTTCCTTCCTCCTCCCCCCAAGATCCTTAGTTCCCCTTCAGCTTGGGGGTTTCAATCAGGGGTGTCCCAGCTTCCTCTTGTAAGTCGTCCTTTGCAGGAGCCATGGTGGTATGGTGGTTCTAGTGCCCATCTGTAACCAAAAGGCCAGTGTTTTGAACTGACCAGCTGCTATGGGTGCAACAAACAAGTTGGCTACCTTAACGAGTCGGCTTCCTTAATTAGTACCGCCTCAGAAGCCAAGTGAGACAGTTCTGCTTTCTCCTACAGGGGACACTGTGATAGCAATGGCTACTCTTCATATAAAGCTTGTGTCACAAGAAATTAGGGTCAGTGCTCCTGAATATGTCGTGTTAAAAGCCTGGGGCAAAATAATTTCTAACATCAATTTATGATTCTTACAGACTAGGCTACCAACCTTCCAACTGCCTGCAGAGACTAGCAATTTCTTTTGCGTTGTTGAATGAAATACCTACCCCTTTTAGTGTGTCATGTTTCCTTATGTGTGACAGTTCTCTTTTCTGTCAGGACAACCTAAGTTGTGACTTTGGGGCTGCAGGTTGGGCAGCAGTCTCTGCAAGGAGTGATCCCTTGGGGGAGTGGGGTGGGGGGGCTGAACAAGTTCCCTGTCTGCCAGCTTGCTATGAACTGCGTAGGTTAAAAAACAAAACTGCATCGAGGTTTTAAAAGCGGCATTTATTGATTGAAAATAAATATGCTGATAAGCTCTTGGTAGCATGGAATCCACATCATTTTTTAATGACCTTGAAGTACATGAAGACTCCTTAATGCTTCTGCCATTTATTTTGTATGTGCTTTTAACAACCACCACATTCATATGGGGATGAATTTTAAACATTTTACTGGGGGAACTGGGGTTGGGGGGAATTCTTCCTTCAGCAGCTCTCCAGAAGTTGATAGGCTTCTGGAAAGAGACGGAGAAAACAGGATCGTGGTGTACGTGGAACACTTAGTACGTCTAACTGGTGATGGGACATGGCTGTGCATGTGGCTGGTCACAATAACAAGCTTAATCCAGCCCAGCGGTGTACAGGTGAAAATGGTGAAGACACCTTTGAATACATGTGCGTATGTGTAAAAGTTGACACGGAAACAATGGCAGCTTTAAAAACTGTAGGGCCCACTAATGCCATTTGCCCTCATTCAACACTTTTGGAGGAAAGGTGTATATATTTGTAGCTAGCTGGCTTCTGAGAACTAGGCAGTGCCAGGAGGGAAAACATTTTGCAGCACTTCTAAGTGGAGGGTAGCAAAGGGAGCAAAAGGAACGTGGCTTAAACCACTGGTCTAAAAATCAATGGCTTCTGCGGGACTTGGTGAAGGGAGCAAAGCCCACTCTGGTGATCCTGTTATGAAGAATGCCTGACTAATGAACACTTCCATGTTATTGTGGGGAGCTCAAAACCATCTTAAGTGACTACATGATTATGATCCCCAAAGAATTCGCACCTCAGCAGTCAAATGCACCTGGGCTTTTTTCTTTAAAGTGTGTGTGTGTGTGTG